TAGCCAGACCATTGCAAGAAGTAACAAAGAAACGCATAGGCTTCAAATAGGGCACAAAGCAAGAAGAAGCATTCAACACTCAAAGAAAAGCTTGTCTCTGCACCAGTATTACAGCATTTCAATCCAAACAAAGATACTATCCTAATCCTACACATTGACGCAGCAACCTGTGCAATAAGGGCAGTTCTTTTACAAGAAGATAAAAAGGGGAAAGCACATCCAATAGCCTATATAAGTCGCAGCCTGTCAAACAGCGAAAGGAACTATTCAATTAGCGAATTAGAGCTCCTAGGCGTAGTCTGGGCCTTAGGTTATTTGAGGCACTTTATATACGGTCGACCAGTGAAAATCGTAACTTATCACCACGCGCTCTGCTGGATGGACACTAAAAATAGCCGAATTCGACTATACAGTTGGGTATTATAAAGGCTCGACCCACAAGGACGCGGATTGCACGTCTCGCAACCCGCTACTGCAGCCAGAAACCCACGGACAAGAAAACCAAGAAGAACTCCCCACATTTGCACTACAAACATCGAAAATGTCTACGTTACAAAAAACAGACCCACGCTTGAAACAACTCCTTAAAGCTATAGGAAGTCCAGACGATCCAGAAATTGACATTGGTACCAAACGAAGAGCAAAAAATTTCAGGATCGAAGGAGGCCTATTATATGCCAGAGCAGTTAGATGAATGACGCGAAGCGGAGTTCGGATAGGCTTCAAGTGCGGGAAAGAGACTTTGTGCACGTGTTGGGAACAATATTTCTCCTACGAGCTTCATACCACAATAACAAAAAAAACAGAAAATATATTTGGTGTTTGAATAGATGTGTGCTGACATAAAAACGGAAGAAAAATCTGTTTTATGCGTGAAAGTCGACAGGTGCACTTATTTTCACTTGACTCAGTGCGAAAAAAACCTTTTCCTACTCGCGTACTTTACCGCACTGCGTGCCGTATGTAGTACTTTACCGCACTCAGTGCGGTAAAAGTTCTTTACCGCACTCAGTGCTGTAAAAATTCTTTACCGCACTCTTTTAAAAAAACGTTTGTATGGACCTTTTTCATGTGATGAACAACAAGGATAGTTTATTAGGATTTCTGCAATAAAGAAAGAGACACATAATGACGCGCGATACCTGTGTGGAATGACAAGTTTGAGAAATACGAATTTGCAAGTGCTAGCAAACCTTTAATTGTACAATTATCATTGTATTTGATATAGAAATCGTTATTTTATAATATTGATTTGTTGCTATGGGAAAAACAAAATGCAACGTAGCAGATTTGACAAATGCCATCAAGATAGACTTTTAACCAAATTATTGTCATAAAAATTTTGAGTGCGGTAGAGATTCTTTACCGCACTGAGTGCGGTAAAAATCCTTTACCGCACTGTATCAAAAATTTTAAAAAAACATGCAATTAATGCATTTGCCTTCGCGTAATGGCCGTAATGCATGAAATAGAAACATTTATTGTTTTTAACAATCAATGTTTGCTATTTTTTATGCATTTTTTCTTCCAATTAGATTTTAATTCGAAAAATTATGTGCTCCGAAGGAAAAATGTTGTACCTAACACGTGCGAAAAGTTACTTTACCGCACTCGACAGCTTGCCCGAACTCCGCTTCGCGTCGTTCTTGCAACTGCCGTCGCGTGCGGTAAAGGACCACTTTCCGCACTTGTTAGGTAAATAACTATATCAGCACGACGTGTAAAGTGTTATTTTGCGCACGGGAATGCGAGCGGAAAAATACTATTTTGCGCACGCTCAGAGAAAAAAAATTGTTTTGACGACATGTCATGACATTAGGCGAGTTTGGTTAATCCTCCGCGAGCTAAAAGATGACACTGTTGACAGAACCTCACGTAATCTTCCATTTGAAGTAATAAAACTGATCACGTGGGGCCGGTCATCTTTTTGCTCGCGGAGGATTAACCGAACTGGCCTATTATTATAGGAGGGACGGTGAGTGAGTCAAATTTCCAAGGAAGACCAGATGTAAACGGAATACGGAAAACGGATACCTACATACCTATTTGAATTATAATATTATGAATACCTAATATTATACCTACCTAATTTAAATACCTTCTCCTACTACATGCTACCTACTTGTCAATATACCGGGTGCCCACGAGATTACTTTCTGGCTGCCATTTTTTTATTTGTTTATCGATATCAACGAAACTTGGTAGGCTTGATATTCTAACGAAACGCCATTTTTGTGCATCCACGACAAGTTTTCCTGACTTCCGGTTTCACCGGAAATGACCGAAACTTTTGATTTTCAAATGACACACCCTGTATATTTTTTGTTTTTTGGATCCTACAGATCATTTTACGTCCTAATGTACCACTTTTAAATCGAGTTTTGTCCAAATTTCGTTTTCAAATTAAATTTTAAGTAGAAAAAAAAAAGAATTACCTACATAATAAAACAAAAAGATTTGAACGAAAATTAAGAAAAATGTCGTAGTGTATTATATCGTTGGATTCGCTTTAAAATACTGCATTTAGTAATGTTATGAAAGTGATATGTTTCTATTCTAGTTTTTGAGCTAGGGCAAAAATACTAAAATGATGAAGTTTACAGCCCTCTATCAAAAAAATTTACAAAGATAAAATTGAGTTTGACGTAAAACGATCTGTAGAATCCGAAAAACAAAAAATATACAGGGTGTGCCATTTAAAAATCAAGAGTTCCGGTCATTTCCGGTGAAACTGGAAGTCAGGAAAACTTGTCATAAATGCATAAAAATGGCGTTTGGTTAGAATATCAACCCTACCAAGTTTCGTTGATATTGATGGACAAATAAAAAATGGCAGCCGGAAAGTGATCTCGTGGGCACCCGGTAGATGCATGCAGGTAATGAAAACAAGGTCCGACAAAACTTACCTATGAGAATACATTTAAATTTCTGGATACGATAAATATAGTTGTCACTCATTGCGCCCTTAATACAAAAAAAAAAACTTTTGATTTTAATGAATTAAATGAAACCACCTGCTACCTATACGAATATTTTAATTTATTGTTTACAAAATTTAATTTAACGACAATTTTATATTTCAATAATAACGGGTCTTCGAAAAAAACTAAGTCAAAGAGTGCTTTGATTACGAATAAGTATGTCGCGTCTGTTTCCTTAAATAATATCACAGTGACACCTGACATTATTGTTTGTCACAAGATTTTTGCTTGACATTGCAAAATTATAGAAAAACATCGCTAAGATATACATTATCTAGTGTCAATCAAAAAAATGAACTTACCATAATTCACATATTGTGATATAATTTTTCACATGAAATTACTCAATTGTTTATCAATGATAAAAAATATAAAAATCCAAAAATCATAAACTTACAATAAGCCCTGAAGAAGGAGGAAAACAGCTCCTAAAGCTTGATTTTGTGAAAAATAAAAAAAATAACTTGAACGTGACTGTTTCCCAATTATATATACAGGGTGTTTCACGAATATCGAAACAGAGGCGTTTCAGGGTATTTTAAGCTCGATTTAGGAAAAGCGCTCGGATACGAAATTTTTATATTCAAGGGGGAAACTTATTGACCTCATCTGTATTTCGCTACGGTGCACCCCCTAAGTGGGATGACTTTCACCTCTCTTTTTTAGATAGGAAAGATGGGTCGAGTGATACCTTGTTTTAAAGGTATTTTGATTCTCGTCACAACTGCGTATTTTTTTTTCAAAATCGAATGATAAGTTCGCAAGATATTCACTGTCAAAGTTGCCATGGGCTAAATAAGAAACAATTTTCCCTGTTATTCTCAAATTAACACTTTCCTGATTTTCCTCTCGAATACGTGAATTTCCATTTTTTGTGTGCTTCCGAAAAAATGAAAATTGACGTGTCCGAGCGGAGAGTCAGGATAGTGTTAATTTGAGAATAACAGGGCCTGAAAATTGTTTCTCATTTAGCCCATGGCAACTTTGACAGTGAATATCTCAAGAACTAATTATTCGATTTTCAAAAAAAATACGCAGTTGTGACAAAAATCAAAATAACTTTAAAACAAGGTACTAATCGACTTATTTCCCCTATCTAAAAAAGAGGGGTGAAAGTCACCCCACCCAGGGGGTGCACCCTACAAAAATACCGATAGGATCAAAAACTTTCCCCCTTGAATTCAAAATTGACGTGTCGGAGCGTTTTTTTTTTTAAATCGACCTTGAAATACCCCATAACGCCTCTGTTCGTGGAACACCCTGTATAATAACTATAAAAGGAGATTCTGTGCTCAATAGACTGATCTCCTATTACCTGGACTGCGCGCGTCGATTTTAGGCTGCAGGTGAGCGTCCAATGAGAAATAAGTAAACAGGCTTGCGTCATATTCTTATTCAGGGGCTAGTTCAGAATGAATCGCTCCTTCTTTCCTTGTAACGTCTAATTCGACAAAGAGCAAACTTATACTTTACATATTACTTGAACTCATCGCAGTGTCGTTTAAGGTTATGTTAGATCATATTCGACATATTCCTTTGCAATCTCATTGAGCGATGCTGCCGGATGAAACATTTATCAAAATAAAAGTGCAAACGATGTTCGTCCACTTTAAAGCTGTTCTTTTGTCTGATTTAAGGCGTTGTAAAACACTTGAAACTATATCACTTCTTTAATGTTATAATGTTCGATTTGTATTGTCTACATTTGTTCTGCAACAGTAGAGTCTGGCTACACTGCAGCCGACCGACAGTTGCGCGCGCGTGTCATCTTTCATTACTTTTTAATTTGTATTTATTACAATTATTAAGCTCTCTTTTCCTAATCATGCGAGATAGGTCTATTGCTAAATCCCAGAAGGCCAAGGCTGGTGTTCTTGTAGGTGAACCTGTAGGTGAATTTGGCTTGACAACGGGTGAAATCCGGAAGGTTCAGGAGGTGGATCAATTGAATATGACCTGCGTTTCAGATTATTGGCCAGTAGTTTGGGTTATATTTTGGCCATGTGGCGATTGTTGAGACTATAGAGTAGGGGCTGGGAACTGTACGGTCATAAATTTATTAATGCTTTGCATGATATCCATCCTTGCAGCAAGTTTGGAATGTGGGGGAATGGATTTCAAAAAGGGCACTAGGGACAACAAAAATAATCTATCATCTTCTTCGTTGGAATTTATAGTTTGAATTTGTCCTTCTTGATTGATATTGGGGCTAGCAAGAGCCTCCACGCGCTTCCTTTCCACTATATTTCCCTTTCTTTTCTTTGTAACATGTTCTGCAGAAGGCTCATCGTAAACAGTAGAAGTAGAAGTTTCTGCTGCCAAACCAGTCTCAAGTTTAATATCATCCATAGATGCATCGGCGGGCAGACGTTGAATGACATCGTTCAGAAACCACAATTGGCTGGTGTACTTATAGGCACTTTTGCCTTTTTGTCCTTTTCCAGATTTTCCCTGATTTTTTTTTATTTCTCTGGAGTACCTATCCCTGATATTCTTCCACCGCTTTTGGAGAACACTACCTAAAAAAAAAGCTTGTCAGTTTGATATATCACATAACTTTATATTTATCATTTATTTTATGCACAAGTTTGTTTCATGGAAATGCAAAATCTACAGTAAATTTATTTGTTCAAAAAGTTTGTAGAGCAATATAGCTAGACACATGCGAAACCTTCAAAAATCCCACACTCTATGAAAAAATTATATCTAAATTATGAAATGAAAATTTTTGTAGCAACGACTATCGAAAAAGATGTGCCTGAATATCTATTTGTAATAATAGAAGATGAATTATTCTTTCCCTTACCAGGAAATTCACTTAGGATAAATACATGGTGGATCCGAAAATGATGATTTTTTCGATCTCAATTATATTTTTAAATAAAAAACGTCAATTTTTTTTACAGGGTGTTTTTTTTTATTTATTGACACCCCACCTGCAGCCATTACAGGAAGACGATAGGTGTAAATACAACAGTTGTACAGTTTCAGCTAAATTTTCAGAATTCATCGTCAGAAACAAAACAAAAATTGAAAGTCAAACCTACTTTCAACTTTTTTCGAATGGAATGCCCTATGTTCTATAGGTAATCTTCAACAGCACAATTTTACGATTCCTAAAATATATAATTTCTGTATATTTGGTTGAGGAAACATTTTGAGAAATTTAGAGGCCGATTTATTGAGTAGAGAAAATCAAGAGTTGTCAAGCACAGCTTATCTTTAAGTGTAGTCTATAGACCAAAAGTTACCAACTACATATTTTGTAAATAATAATCCGTTTGAAGGGCAATACACACAAACATGAAAGTCGAAAATATCGACTTCTGATTTGATATTTTGTAATATTAATTAAATTATGAATTTATGTAAATACCCAGTTGTTTCTTCTCCTCCTGTTCAGCACCCTCATTGACAAATACGGCATCAGTTACCTCTTCCCAAGCTCGTTTCTTCTGCACTTTGTTGGAGTAATCCTCTGAGCGCATATCCCAAATCGCTGGTCTTACATGAATCGCATTGATTAAGTCTTCAATATCGAGATTCTCCATTATTTTCAATAAAATCTACTGAATCTGCAACACTGACAAACTCGAAAATTCAAAAACCGCACAAGGTCTTTTTTGTCTCACGAATAAGTGAACACGAAATGAAAATGATGTGCCCAGGAGAGCCGTAAAACCGCTCTCGGCATAGGGTACGATAGTAGTTTACCGTTTACATAGTACGCTCCCGCTCTGCCTTCTGCACATTTGCCGTTTATGTTACCTGACTGAGGATGTCTATTCTCGAAACCGGGGATTCAGCGTCCCGATGAGAACGATTGCTCTGTCTTTGTCAGTGAAATGGAAATATAAATATGGATGACTAAGACAGAACCTTCATTCTCGTGAGAGCGCTGTTTCCCGGCTTCGAGAATAGACACAGGTCAGCCGTCAGCCGAGACACAACCTCTGGTTCATACAATAGCGATACCATCGGCGGCCGACTCGGCGAAAACTGCTTAATCTGCTTCCTTTATACCTGTATTCTGTTATAATGTTCTACCAGTCAATCGAAATTGTTTTCTGTGGGGGGCTAAAGTGTCACAAGCTAAACTGTATTGCATTAAAAAGTAATATTTTGGAGATTCTAAAACCGAAGGTATATAATCCAAAATAAGACTATGCAGAAGGGCACTATATTTTCAAAAAACGAGATATTGGTACTGTTGTGTTCCTTGTGACGTGTTGCCTCTGGGATTGAATATTCTTTCTTGGACTTGGAGTAAATAAAATACAAGATGGTAACATAAAATAACTACCATATAATGTTGTATCGATGCCGAGAATAATATGACAATGACGATAATAATGATAATAATATAATGAAGTTTCTTAAGACTAGGGTTATATTTATATCTAAAACTACAAAGAAAAGTAATGATGTAAATCTACACTTCAATGGGGTTGTTTTCCAGTATTTCGTAAACAACCCTAATTTGGTGATAAGACTAATAGCATTGAAAGATATTAGTCTAGTATCAATTTGGATGGTCCCATTATGCAAATAGCTAATTGTTACGTCTATATTTGGGTATCTGTTCTGTTCTATGAGACAAAGGAATAGTTTATAATATTTAGTAAATAACAAATTAATATTAATGTACTAACAATAATAACTTGAGACTTTGCCTTAGGTATACAACAGTACCATATGGTACGTAAACAAAACAAACGTAACTATACTAAGTACAAAATGACCTCAAAATTCAAAAAGTCTCTTTACAATTTACGTAGATACATTATTTGAAACATTTTAAAAAGCATCGGGGCTTACGGCCAAAAAAAAACTAAAAACGCGATTTCCTCGGTTTTATCTTAGGAAAAAGTTGCGAAAAATGTTGTATTACTTTTCATATTTACACAACGATTTTAGCTGAGTATAAGCTCTCCAAACGAAAAAAGTTACTCGTTATAAAAGTTTCCAAAACGTGTGTAGATCATAACGAAACATCAACCATATTTTTCCGTTGATTGATAATTGACTTATAGCAATTCATATAAAGAAATCAATTAAAACAGCTCGCGCTAGTCAGTAGTCGGCTATCGGTGTGTGCTTTCTCACCGCTTCGTACACCCATCTCAACTGCACCTATTACCGCAAATCTATAGGTATTGTCGCAGCTTTGGATCGACGGACAGAAATCTTGGGTTCGTTGTTCGTTTCGTTTATTCCAAAAATCAAAGTCCAATTAACACAGCAATAATTTATTCCAGTTAACAAAACACTCTGACACTAATTACTTTATTAACAAACTCAACAATTAAACTCTTTACAATCACTATTTAAATCGTATCACAGTCGAACTGAAACTTAACTTACAAGCTAAAACCCGTCCTTATATATATCCCTAAATCTATTCCTGTAAAATCTAGAACACACACGATAATGTTATTTCTCGATTATAGTAGAATAATTCGCTAGATTCGAGGATATCGATTCTTGACAGCCTGGCGGACGTCTATCTAGCAAGAGCGTTTAGCATTATTGTTACACTGCCCTCCTCTTAAGGTTGATCGTCCCGATCAACTTCGCGCCCATGATATTTCGCAAATCTGTCCAGATGTACAACTTTCATCTTACTCCTGGTGTTGCGCTGGACTCGATAAACCAAATCATTGATCCTCTTGATTATTTTGAAGGGTCCTTCCCATGCTGAAGACAACTTCGGCGATACTCCTTTCTTTCTAGCTGGATTATACAGCCACACTAAATCACCTTCTTGAAATCCCGCTGAATTGGCTTTCAGGTCGTATCTGGTCTTCATTCGGTCACTGGCTAGCTGAATATGCTCCCGAGCAAAATCATGGATACCCAGAAGTCGTGCCCTTACTTCGTCGGCATAATCTCGGATTTCTCTCCGTTCTTCTTCAGGTATCCCAAACATCAAATCGCAAGGTAACCTGAGTTCTCTTCCAAAGACGATTCTGGCTGGACTTTCACCTGTTGACTCGTGAACAGCTGCTCTATAAGCCATTAAAAACAGGGGCAAGTGTTTGTCCCAATCATGCCGGTTCTTTGCGACCACTTTTGTCAGGTGTTCCTCTATGGTCTTATTAAATCGTTCTACCATGCCATCAGACTGTGGATGTAAAGGTGTTGTCCTGGTCTTACGGATTCCCATGATCTCACAAATTTTCTTAAAGATGGCAGATTCGAAGTTTCGTCCCTGGTCTGAATGTAACTCTAGTGGCACACCATGATGACTAAAAACTTCGTCCACTAGAACCTGGGCTCGTACATAATGCTCCTTTCAATTTTCTAAATGCGGAATCGCATTCTTGGGTCCAATTGAATGTTGATTTTTCTTCTGTTAATCGATGAAGTGGAGCACCTATATTGGCGAATCCTTCCACAAATCTTCGATAATAAGAACATAATCCTAGAAAACTCCTTAGTTCATGTTTGTCGCGTGGTTTTGGCCAGTCCCTGACAGCATCTATTTTTCCTTCCATAACTGGTATGCCCTCTTCAGATACCACGTGACCTAAGAATTCCACTTTCTTTTGAAATAGGAAACACTTATTTGGATTGAGTTTCAAGTTGGCATTCCGGAAGCGGTCAAAAACTTCTTTTAGGTTATTGAGATGCTCTTGGAACGAATTTCCCATAATCATGACATCATCCAAATATACCAGGCAAGTTCTCCATGTAAGGCCTCGCAAAACAAGATGCATCAGTCGCTCAAACGTAGCTGGAGCATTACATAATCCGAAAGGCATTACATTAAACTGGTATAGCCCGCTTCCGGTACTGAAGGCAGTTTTCTCTTTGTCATCGTCATGTATTGCCACTTGCCAGTATCCACTTTTGAGATCCAAGGTGGAAAACCATTTAGAGCCCGATAGAGCTGTTAGTGTATCGTCTATTCTTGGGAGAGGGAAGCTGTCCTTCTTGGTGACGTCATTAAGCTTTCGGTAGTCCACACAAAATCTAAGACTCCCATCTTTCTTCGTAACCAGTACTACTGGCGAGGACCATGGACTATTTGACTCTTCAATGACTCCCTCTTGAAGCATTTTATCAATTTGGTTTTCCACTTCCTGTTGCTTAGCTACTGGCATACGTCGTGGTGGTTGTCTAATTGGGTGTGCCAATCCAGTATCAATTTTGTGTTGAATTAAGCTGGTTCGTCCGGTTTGATTGTCCATCACAAATACGTCTGCTTCTTTCAAGATGAAATCTGTGGCTTCTTGGAGTCTATCTGGATCGGGATGTTTCCATGATTTCGCCAAAGTCTGCATCAAGGTGTCTGTATCCAATTTAGATTTCACAGAATGTCGCTTATCTGGAAGTTCACACTTCGATATTTGCTTAACTGGTTCGAGAGTTCCAATAATGTCTCCTTCTTTTATTCTTACTGTTTCGGAAGAAACATTGGCAATTCTTATCATAAGGTCCCCATTTGTTCTTACTAGAGTCTTCCCAACAAGAAATCTTTCTGGTTTATCTCCAATAAAATTACGTGTTAGTCCAACGCAGCACCCAGGGTTTGTTTCTAATCTTCCACAAATGATCTTTTCAGTACTTCCAGGAATCCTCACTGGGGTTGTGG